TATATGCATTTTACGTGTCAATTTTCTGTATCAGTCTTCTTGGCACATATCTGTAGCAGAAATATAGCGTGTATTTGTGTGTACTGTCTCAGAGGAAATAGACATAAAAGTAGGACAAATCTCTCGATCTGGCCGTCTGTTTCGTGCTTCTTCCGCGAGAAACTTTGCGTCAAAAATCGACGGATTCTCCCACGACTTCGGCGTCCTATATTGATTTACTGGCGTACCGAAGTTGCCTCGCGTGCAAGCGCGAAATCAAGCCGAGCACAACCTATGACAAGCCGAAGTGCGTGGGCGGCGAAGGACTTGTCGAATAGAGAAAGACAAGAGAGAGAGAAAGAGAGGGAGATTGTGAAATTCCAGTTTTCACGTGTCGCCAAGCATCACATTACTTCATTGCCATCACCAGATTCTTTCATTATAAACGTCTTTCGCTTGTGACGACAGTAACGACGAGGAAGTCGCTCTCTCCTTCTCGACCTTGCCTTGACGTATTATCGATTCATCCAACCATGAAGACTGCGAAGGATGTCTGTTCGGAGTGGAAAAACGAATATGACCTACGACAAGAAAGTGCGTACGCGTCGTATAATGTGGGTATATGAAGGCTGAATTCTTCCACGCATAATAAATCCGCGATTAATATTCTTCGTGTTGAATGTCGTTTGAATATTCTTCGAGATCTGAAATAAATATCAAATATTGCGCACATACGACGTAAAAGGGAAAATCTTTCAAAAGAAGAGACTCTTATTATTAGATCTTTCATCTCATAAAAATGATTAAAGTACAGCAGGCATTCAGTATTCCTTATTTTCAAAAATAATGCAATACCCTTGTAAGAGAAAAAATTGTAAATTTAAAAAAAATATTTTTTTTGCAAATTTGAAATAATCTATACGTTATAAAAGATCGTGTACATTATTTTTTCAGAAATAAAAAGCCAGCATTGAAATTGCATTATATTCTATAAAATTTCCACGAATATGTAAAAAGAATAATTGAAAAATATGAAAAGCATGCTTATTGCTTTCCTGAAAAAGACGAGTCGACGCTCTACGTAGATCCTCGAAAATTATACGGTGAATTTGCAAGTAAATAGAATTTTCGAAACTCTCTGGAAGAGATATATCTCAGAGCATACAGCTTTGTTTTGAGAAACGGTGAAAGGCAAATTGGAGCGCGGCGAGATAAACTCAACAAGAACACTTCTCGAGTGACCGATCTCTCTCTGCGGAACTCACCAGGGAAAAATGCCGTCTCGAAATAACGCTTTATTGCATTGTCTGTAAAAACGTCGCCGACACTCGTTTACGCGATTGTAAAAATACAGGACACGTATGAGGCAATTTACAGCGCCGACAGCGCATTAGAAACGTCCCTGACAAAAATGCGCGTCTGACGTCAATTTCCTAAAAAAAAAAGAAAAAAATAACAGATGGAAGAAAATCGATTAAACCCGTGACCACAGACGTGGCCGTCATCAATTATCTCCAATCTTCTTTGAACCGTTCCACTGAACTGATCGGTAAAAAGGGACTGAGGGGGAATTTACAGCGTGCGTCCGTTTCAAGCGTTAACGCAATTATTTCATTAACTGTTCAGGCGATCGTATGTTATTATCGAATAATGCTCTGAAAAAAAAATTTTCACTTTGCTGAAACAACTGTGAATAATAAATTGGACGGGAACATAGGTGGGAGGAATTATTTGCATGTATGTATTCTCAACTGCCTTGTCGTTGACGTCATCATCAGACCGAGACGGTTGGCATAGTTAGATATCGAGGACTCTTATATCATTAAATAAAACTATATTTTAATGGCGTAATTTTTATCTGACGCATTATTTCACATTTCTAAGTATCAAACAAGTATAGAAATAATTGCGCGACAATATGTGAAACCGGAAACTATTGTACACGTGCGCAGTCTTGTCCGACTTCGTGGACAGTCCGTGATCATCGCATCGCGTTCCGCCTCCGCACTCGCTATAATTTAAGCGATCCGCCGTTAAAACGGTGGAACGGCTCTTCCGTACGATCGCGTTACATTCGACTCGTAATAGAGAACACCTGCGAATTCGAGATAGAAATGTGCTCCACGTGCTCCCTTAAAACCATGTATCACGTGCCGTAAACGCCACGTAAAAGATCGAGTGTGTCGATACTAGCGTGTTAATTGGGTGATTTTATAAATAACGTTATTTATCAATGCAGATATTTTCCAAATTTAGATTATGAAATTGTTTAGAACAGTTTTCGAAAATACATTTGTTTGAAAATGTTACTGACATTTTTTTTTAATTTTTATAAACTTTTTTATTGCCGACAATGATAAACATTGAGAAAGATTCCGATAATTTATAGCTTTAAATAGCTGGATTTTGTCATGTAGTAGGTTTGACAGAATCCACTTTACATTTTTATAATGCATTTTTAAAAGACGGCAAACGTAACACAGACAAATTGTACGTACAAAGCTATCGATTTTAAGCTAACAATAAGTCAAAGTCTGACTAATTCACGGTGGCATCTACTAGCGCGAGACGTGCTGCATTAGCGACTGCGAACAATACATGATTTTTTCCGAGTACGTTAATCGTCATCCTCGAGGAAGCGTAACGCCGGTCTCTACATTCATTAAGAAATAATAAACCGTGTCAGGCATTATACATATTCAAAGCGAGAGATCGTCCGATGTGTACATACGTCTGAAACACTGCTGGCAAAAGCCGTTGACGTCAATTAGTTCAAACAAAGAAAACCGTTCACCGCGACGATCGTGAATTACCGATTCTTCCACGAAACGATTCAGGGATCGGCGAAAAGAAAAGAATTAAATTATTCACGAGTGCAATTTCTTGCATTATTCTTCTTCCCTTTCAAATCTCCGGAAACTTACAATTTATTCGATCTTTGCATTTTTTATGTAATTTTTTATCTGTATTTTTTATCTATGTTTGCTGTGACGCATTTAATTATTTCCAATGAATTATTTCAATATGTATATCAAAAAACTGAATTTTAACGACAGCTTTTACATATGAGTAAATACGTCATACAGAAATAATATTAAATTGCCACGTTCGCATTTGCATTCGCATTCTAATTAACGTATAAATGTATGAATTTTCTTGCAAAAATACACTTAAATGAATCCGTTTCTGATTCGAAAATCGAGGAGAAACTTTACGCTGAAGAAAGGAGATGCGCGTTATTCGGTCCGCTTACCTTTCATATATATACGAAATGTTACATCGTCGCCGGCGAAATCGGCGTTATGAAAGTGCAAAAGGGAAAACTGGCGAGGATGATGCGGCAACGTGTATTTCAACAACCGTCTCGCTCCGATGAATGACACTTACATTCGCATTTTATTATTTCTATTTCAGTCGGACGAACTCGACCTAGCACCGACCAACACGAAGAGTATAACGTCGATCGAATCATGCTCGTTTCCCCAAAATACCCTTGCCCTATTCGATAGAAATAGAAGAAATAATAAAACCACCGACGTAAATCACCGTGATTCGCAGTACGTCATTAACATGAATTTATTACACTATCAATCCGTGAACATGGCTATCATGCGGCTATAATGCACATAGAATGTTCCAGTACCTTCGATTTTTCTTTTAATCACAGCGATTCCTCGACCAATTTAAAGTCGACTATTATACCTTGGCTAAAATTTTACATTAAATAAATGTGACGACAAATTAGTCGAACTCGGGTTTAATTCGAGAAATTGACAAATCACATTTACATTTCTGAATTGCTATATTCGGTATCCATTACACCGAAAATAATTATATAAATTGATCTCGAAGTTCCAATTAATTAATAATCAATTAATTAACAATCGACTATTTTAAACAGGTTCTTTAACTGATATATAATCAATCATACTTTATGAATTTGTTTTGCACCAAGTAGATACAAGCGTGACTTAATCGGACTTGCGTGTCATTCATTGCGGAAAAACTACATTTGTATTTACCGATCTGTTTGTAGACTATAATAATATCAAAGATAATTATATATGAAGTTCCTGGAATTTTCAACACTTCCCTATTTTAATTTTACCAAGTCTTTCAAGTCGACTATCAATATTGTTGAGTGGCAACAATAACCGTCGATCATGCAAGGACCCCTTAAGAGATGAGATAAACAAGAGGAGAGGAATCGCGCTCACTCGAGAGCAGAACGACGAGGCCAAGAGCGGAGATTAGCAGCGCATACGAGAACATTGCTCGAGAATATATCTCCCACGTCTCATTATTCGTTCGAGAAAGTCCGTCTTCTCGCTTGACGGCGCGATTTTTCACCGTAAACGATCCAGAAATTTGCGGACGTTATACTAACAATTGTAATCACACAAGCCGCCCATTTATCTCGGTTTTAAGACAAATACACGGCACTCTATCCAATTTTCCAATAATAACTTGGTAACTAAATAAGTTTTAATGTACGTATTATGCAATCCACTTCGTGTAAAGCGCCCTGAAAGGGCTTAGGTCACAGAGGCACGATGCATATATATATATATACGTTTTATCCAATTTGCTATTCTGAAAGGACATTTTCGGATGTAAATGAGGAATGACCGCACGGTGACCGGTCAGTCACGTGCGAGCACGCAGTGTGCTACTTGTCACGCAATTATATCGAGAAACAATTAACGATGAGACGGATGCCGGGCACGGCATATGTACGTGCGTGACGTCAATTGTCGAAGATAACGGGCGTTCACGCGCGCGCGCCAGCGATAGTAATCGGTATAGTGGTGGGCGTCGGGTGCACCGACGTAGGTTACGTGGAACGTGGGCGAGAGGAGGAGGCGGAAGAGGAGTAAAGTGTGGCGGCGAAGGGTGAAGAGAGGTAGCGAAGAGAGGGGTAGTTTGCTAAGAATGGCCGGGGCGACGGCGTACGAGGGGGCGACGAGGGCCGAGGGCGCCGACACCGCCGCCGGTCGAGCTGAAGCAGCACGGGGGGTGGCAAGATGGCCGTCGGTCAGTCGGTATCGAACCGCCGTGCCGTGCGGAGCTCCTACGCTGACTCGTGCGCGCGTAGGCACGGTGCCGTCCCGCTCCGTTCCGTTGCCGAAGTGGTGAACGGGACCCGCGGTACTTTCGCATACCTCGGCAGGCACGCGCGTCACGACGATCCGCACTCACCGATGGCTTCCCGGCCTCCTCGCGCAATCCTGGAGCACCTCCTCCTCGCCGCTGTCATCATCGTTGTCAGTGCCGCCTGTTTCGTAGAACGCGCTCACCGAACGATCTTCGTTGCGGGCGACCGGTAATTCCCGAGCCAAGGGGTAAGTGTCGAGGGTGGGAGTTAATTTTTCAGTTCTACGTACCTTGTAGATTTGTTCAATAGCGAGATTGCAGGATCGCGAGCGAGCGATTTATCCGCGTCCTGACGCACGACCGCTCGTCGACGACCTCATCCGACGACGCGGTACTCTATCGAGTATCGACGACGATCGATCGGGTGCTCTCTTTCTCTCTCTTTCCCTCTCAACGCGTAGGAGGTCGTTGTCGATCCGTGACGTCAGTCGAGGATTTCTATTGTACTTGTTGCGGGTGGGCCTTTGTACTCTACTAACGAGTAATCCTTGACGCGTGTTCTCCTTGAGACCGTTCGTCGCTCTTTTCCCCTCTGCGCTCTTGCGCGTTTCTTTCTCTTCTCGTGTCGACGGTGCGATGTCCTTCCGGGATGTCGTGATTTTTTAGTGTTGAATCAGCCTTGAAAGCTCGCGTCAGTAGCGATTACGTGGTAAATAATTATCATAAATTACATTCGTCGATATCGTTCGAGATATCTTGGAACTCTCGCGTCACACGGCGAAATAGAAAATATTTTATATGCACATAAAGAAGATTTATGTGCAACGTGAAAGGCAATAATTACGAATCCGTAAAATCCGTAAAAGGCTTTTCGAAGTGGATCTTTATGAATTTTCATTGGCGCTTGCGCGTGCGTGATTGCTTTGCATAGGCACACGAAAAAAAAACCTCTGTATAATATAGAACGGGAAAGTCAGAAAAGATTTTTAGACGATATTGAAAAGTAACATATCGATATCGAAAAGTGACACATCGCGACATACCGATTAAAAAAGTAAAATAAGTGATAATATCAATAAAAAGATTTAGAGAAATTATACTTTTAAATTTTTGTATGTAAAAAACAATTTAGCTACTTCAAATTTATTCTAAAAATATGATATAGCTTAGAACTCTGTTTT